AAAAAATCATCAATGATTCAGGCTGCAAGGGACGCAGCAGTTGATCAGCACTTCGAGATGATTTCAGAAGGCGAAGCGTCATCTGCTAGCTCCATCTCGAGTCCCAGTGATATTGGAGATGTCAGAATAGGAAGAACGAATATTCCTCATGAGCAACAGGAGCAGCTGCGGCAGGCTCATGCTCGCAAGATGAAGAGGATTCGCAGTGACCGGAACCTCTTTTTCATCTGGGTAAGTAGTACTCACTCTATTGACGCCGAATAAACAATCCCTCCCTGCACCATACTAATATTCCCTTTCGCGTAGATCCCGCTTCTTATCGTCGTTGTTATTGCCATGCTACAAAACCTCGTACCTGATATTTGGCACGGTCTTTCTCGGGGTTATCAAATGTTCAAGGCGCGTCATCGGTCCCAAACTCAAGAAATCCGTATGGTTCCTGAATGATGGGGCACTGCCACAGTATCGATATACTTGGCATGTCCTGGCTCAAGGTTTTTTGGAATATGCACCTTTCCTTCTGTTTTTCCCTTTTTATTCATTGTTTGCTATAAATGGATACGGTCTCTGTTACCTGGAGTTTGATGCCTCGTTTGTCATCTTGGAAAATTCGACCATCGCTTGATTCACTCGCTACCTTCCTTTTTATCGCGCCCCGGGCCCCGGGCCCGGGCTCGACCAGCAAACGTCGATTATATCTTGATTTCTCCCACATTCTGTGGTATTTGTATATATACGTAGGTAAATTTACGTAGGTAAATAGATCGATATTTAATTCCAAGTTTTACTTTGAATCGTTTTCCACAGTACGTACTACAATCCATTTGTTCGAAAAACTTGTATCTTGTTGTCTCGACGGAAGACCTGAAGACGTAGATGTACACCAGGGTGAAATATCATTATGAAGTGTATTCAAATTGGTGAAAACAAAGTGTTTAAAAAGGGGCTGATGATTCAACTAAGTCAAGTATCCTTTGAGTTAAAGCAGCGACGGATGTTGCCAAGATGAGCAATTTTGACCTCCTTTGTACTGTACTTTTTGCATTACTTCACTTTCCACGCTGAGATAGAAGTGCAAGGCGGTCTATCCACCTGTTGAGAAATCCCAAGTGATGGCGACATACTATCCTCCGTGTCTTTAAAACTCGGCCTGATGGATGCCAACCCTCGCGCAGGCTCCAACGTGACCGGTTCGCTCTCATTTTCCCTACCCCGAAATTCAGCCAAACAAATTGACTGAAAACTACCTTCTAGTTGAATATACCGATCCTTCCGGGCTCTTCCCCTCGATTGGACCTCTTATTCTAGAGACTTTACCCCTCCGAAACCTTCACTGGAAGTCTCCCACCCGGCCTCTTCGTTCCATTGACTCCCTCCATGTCGACCTCGTCCCTGTAAAGAGCACACACCAGGAGCAGAGACGACCGAGTGATGGAGCGAGTGGTTCAGTTCCCCACCGAAGACATCAAATACCTGGCCTTCGCCAAACACCATACTTGAAAATATATATCTTATCTTGCGACGATAATGATATTTACAAGTCTACTACAAGGAAGGCGGTCCGGGAATGGATCAAGACACATGGCACACCCCCACAAAGTAGCAGCTCATCTGCTACACAGGATAATCACGATGCGTTTGAGTGGCTTATAATACATGTCGTTTCTGGCCACACGGAGGTGGCTGACAAATCTGCGGCGGGGTCAAAATGGCCCGGCAGAGGTTCTACTACGGTGCTGGAGAAAATTAAAGCAGATTTTGGTGGATCATCAAAGTCGTCTATTGACCGTGTCGTACAATTACGCATCCCGAAGGCAGAGTCGGATGAGCGACCTCCAGAGCTAGCCGACCAACTCGAGGACCTAGTTGCGAAATTGAAATCTTCGATCCTCACGTCTTTTGATCATCGCGTTAGTCAATATGAAGAAGATATTCGGCTCAAGGACTCACAAAGAAACCTTCCTGGATGGAATTTTTGCACGTTCTTTATTTTGAAAGAGGGGCTTGCGCGCGGATTTGAACATGTTGGTTTATATGCAGATGCGCTGGTTGGATACGATGAGCTTGCAGTTGGATTGGATGCGGCTCTTCGTGACCAGTCTGTTGCTAAGGGTGACCAACATGGCGGGACATTTCTCAGTTGCACCAACGATGTGAGGGCGAAGGCTGAAAAGGCTCTAGGTTTGGTACCTAGCGAGGCCGATAATGATGTTAGTAAAAATACCGACGATTCGTACGAAGATGAAAGCGAGGGAAGAGATGGAAATGATTATTCTACCGTCATTGCCGTGGGCGAAGATCTCTTTCCTCTTGATTCACACAAAAAACCGTACCGTGAAATGATCCTTGCCAATAATATTTCAGTCTTCGATTTTCGGGCATACATTTTTTCTCGACAGATGATGTTGCTATTAAAAGCTGCTAGAGCTCCTTCATTACGAGATCAAACTAACGAAAAATTAGCCAAAGAAGCTGAGGATTTAACACTTCTTGCAGAAATATGTGATCGGGCAAGCGAGTTTATTAGTGTTGGGTCGCGAACCTTGCGACACGATCTGTATGTTGGCCTCGACGAGCTAGAACATGATCGCGATGAATCCAGTGTAACGGAGGTTGTCAACAACATAGTGTATTCGTGGACATATTCCGCAATTTCACAGGTACTAATCCAAACCGCCACGGATTCCCTCGATATCCCAAAGGCTTCCCTTCGAAATACACGGGATCTGGTGAATGCGTCCGTGCTGGCAAATTTTGTTACGGAGACACGACCAGGCGTCCCGAAGCGGTCGAGCTCACTGACTGCCAATACTCTGATTAGCAGTCGACCTACTAGCCTGGACATCATGTCTCCGGGACTGTATAGCGGAGCGCAGCCTAGAGCCCCGCTGGCTTCCTTAAGGTCGAGTGTTTCAGCGCAACTGAGGACCGGGCAATCTGAGCTTGCATCTGCCCGTGGTGACTTATTCCTTTACGCTCGCCGAACCTTGGAAAATATTGGACAACGGTGTGGTTGGTCGAAGAAGTGGCGGGACCTGGGATTACTCTTCGATGCGCAGAACGAAGCTGCAAAGGGATTGAAGGACGTACCTCTAGATGGGGACGGAGAAACACAAGAATTTACGACTGTGGACCAGGAAGTCACGCCGGTGCTAAGAGGGATTGAAAATCCGAAACTGATAAGCTCTTGCAGGTCAGAAAAACAATATAACTTTATGTATGAAGGATTAACCGATCAGATATTTCGCCATTACGTCGCAGCAAATAGAACACGATCTGCTGAGATGGCAATGGCCGATATTGCAGTCCTGAGATACCGCGCAGGCGACTATGGTACCGCAGCCTCGTACTTCCATCAAATGGCTCCGTTCTATGCCAGCTGCCATTGGGGGGTTCTGGAAGGGGTAATGCTTGAACTGTACGGACGATGTCTAAAGCATCTGGGCCGAAAAGATGACTACGTCCGGGTCCTTCTTAAGCTACTCGGAAATTATGCCGGGGTCGCACAGTCAGGGCAAAAGGCAAGGTCTTTTCGAAGCAAGAGAATGAGTTCTGCAGCACCATCATCGTTTCCCCCCGTTGCCCGCACATTGGTTTCCAACTACGTCAATGACCTATTTGAGACATCACAGGTCCTTTCCGCCGACTTTTCTGTACCACTCAATGAATTTTTCAGTGGCATACATATCAGCTCGACCATCCATCATTTCGAGGATAAGGATGGGATTCTCGTTGAGCTTTCCCTAAGATTTCTTCTTGGAAATAGTATTGAAGTTGATAGTGTAAAGATGCGACTTGTTAACTCCACAGGTGTTCATAGCAGCGAAATCTGGTTAGAAAATTTGGATTTGGTCGTCGTAAAGTCGACTGTATCGAAAATCCCCCTCCACGCTTTCGTGAGTTCCTGATCATGTTCTTTCTGCAATATACGTATTTGTCCGTGTATTTATCTAACTTTTAAAAAAAATACGCTTCAGGTTTCAGTGCATGGAAAATATATGGTGGATTGCATTGAGGTGCGAATCAGAAATATTACGTTTGTCCAACAATATGGATTACCATCGTCATTCCCTGCAGGGTTACAGCAACCTAACGCGGATGATTCCGACGACGAAGCTGAGCGCCCATTTGTTTTCTGTTACCCTCCTGCCAGGGGACTTCAAGCAGAAGTTTCGCCTCCGTATCGCATTAACCTGAGTGAGCTACGAACAATAGAAATCGGACTAAAAAGTGGTTGGAACGATATACTCAAGGGCGCTCTACGAGTAAAACCCGCGACTGCTGGACTCAGGCTCCACATTGCAGAAGTCAGCATTGTAGATGGCGATTTAAAGTTGGCAGGGAATGCAGAATCCGGCCAGATTGATTTCACGAGCTTTGGACCAAATTCATCCGCCAGATTGAGTATTCCGTACACCATTGAGGACGATCAAACGACGTTGTCTGCACGTTTGGAGGTGGTTTATGAGACGGCTGATTGCCAATTCTCTTACTTCTCTGCAACATCGATAATCTCGACACTGCCAGTGAGCGTCAATGTTCAGGACATATTCAAAGACGACTCGCTAATATCAAGATTCACGATCAGCCCGGCCATGGCCACACCCCTCCGGATACTTAACTGCAAGATCCCCAGCTCAGAGGTATACGAGGTCCAACCCAGTATTCATCGTGGGCAAGTCCTTGATTGTTTCCCTCGACAGTCGGCATCGGTACTTTACAAAATTATTCCCCGCGGAGAGAAAGCACTGGAAGCAGATGCATCGAAACGGTCTCTTGCTCTGACGATTGATTTTACCTGTCTTGACGAGGAGTGCCTAAGCGTCATTGAAAATCGATTTGTGCAGGATATTGGCGCAAGTAAATTTGCGCAACTAGCTCGGCTCCTAACACCTCATCTTCTTGAAGCATTCCGGAGAGAATGGACTGCGAATGACATGGAAATAATTAGCCTCATCAGGGAGATCGATATATTGTCGTATGAGCGTGTCCAGTGGGAAACCGTGACCAATTCATTGGGCGGGAAGCTCGGAAAGGAAGTTGTCTCGTGGCTCAAGGAATGGCACACGGTAAGTTTTAACAACAGGCCAAAACAAGGGTTTCCCGATATCACGAAAGTAGCCCGCGTGGTGACGCGCATTTGCTAATGAAAGGAACCAACCAATCCAGCAACACACCACCCTATCACTCCCGAACGACTCCAACATGACCGCCACCACCACCAGCAGCACCACCATCCCCAACCGCCAGATAATTATCCCTGTCGACGTCCCCAATGTCCAAATCGTTCACACGGCAAACCTCACCATCCCCAAACCAGACGACCTCATCCAGGCAACGGTCGGGGAGATGATCCCCGCAACGCTAACCATACGCCATACCCGCCGCTGGTGCCCCGTACAGGCCCGGGAGCCAGAAGCGAGCCTCGAATTCTCCTACGAGATCCTCGTGAACCCGGACGTGTGGCTCGTGGGCGGGCGGCGCCGGGGCAATTTCACCGCTAAGGAAGGCGAGACGCGGTCCTTCACCGTCATGCTCCTCCCGCAGCGGCCGGGCCACCTATTGCTGCCCGGGCTAGACATTAAGACGTATGTCACGCAGGCGTTGGCGGCCGATCCGGAATTGCCCTCGAGCGTTGTGCAGCGGAGGGCAGTTCCTTGCGAGGTTGATTATCTGAATCATGCCGAGACAGTGCTTGTGTCGCCGAATTTGCGGAAGACCACGGTTAAGTTGGACGTTTCTGGTGGTGGAGGTGGTGGTGACGGCAGCGGCGGCGGCGGGGGTTGTTGGCTGGTCGGGTCTGAACGGAGGGTTGGAGTCATTGGTTGAATTTAGGAATTTATATAACCTTCAACGGTGTTTTACACCACGCAATGTAGCGCATCTATTCATTTATTCATCTCCCTCTTTTTATCGTTGTATCTCGTTTCGTATTCTCGCTGTTATATTGTGCGCCAATGTAGAGAAAGGGAGAAAACGGCACCTCAACTGGCTGGCGACCTGTTGGCTTTCCTTGTTTATCCTTTCTTGATAACTACAACCCCACATGGAGGTTGGCGTTGAAACGATTGATTGATTGATTGAATTAATTAATGTCTATACAACTAAATATGTAGCTCTAAAACGAAGCTCGGTAACTGGACGCTGTACAGCTTGTTTTTTAACAGGTACGGAGTACCGCTCTCGGACCTGGTAAGTTTGGGGTTTTCTTTTCCTCAACAAAACGCCGTATTTCCCCCCAACAGAAACATTGAACTACGGAAAGCAGAAGAAAGTCCACACTCCAATCGCTGGGCGGTGATGACCTGGGTTTTGTTCTTCTGGTCGTGGTCGTGGTCGTTGGTCGTGGGGTTTTCTTATTTCTTTTCTTTTTCTTTGTCTTTTTCCTTTCCTTTCTGAATTCGTCTCTGTTTTGTTCTGATGCTGAGATACCTGAGATACCTGAGATACCGCGGCGATTTCAGAGGAAAATACGGAGTACATCGACGAACAAAACCAACCACCAACCATCCATAGATCATAATCTTCACATGTTGCCGAGCATGATGACTTCGATGAGTCTTCCCAGCCTTGGTCGCCCGGCTAATCAGCAGCTTCCGGTGAGTCGTTGTCACAGGATGTTACACGTTGGTTACCAAAATATACCGGACGTAACCAGGCTGCGAAACGTAATTTCCGTACCTGATCCCACCCTTGGCGAGGACTGGGCGGCTCTGTGATTGGCTGGGACAAAAGGCGGTGAGCTGGGGGATTGTACAGTACATGGGGAATTCACGAGAGAGAGAGAGAGAGAGAGAGGAATAAGAGAACCGCAGAGGTGGATGTTCCTAGACACTACATAGTACGGGCTCTTTTTTTGCCTTGGTTGTAAAGATGTTTCATACAACAAGGAAGGTGGAAGGAAGTGCAGAAGAGATTGGAATTGTCATAGCGCCGATGTCGTGCATATGGCATCTCTCTCTCGCTCCGGGGATGCAATTGGCGATGCGGATTGGCTGGTTGGAGCTGGAAGAACACGTGCGGGCTGGCTTTGAAGCTTTCGTTGAAGCTTTCGTTGAAGCTTTCGTTGGCGTTGGTTCCGGGTGTATCGTATCGTATCGTTGTGTCACTTTACGTATGCCGGATTTATTGGTATTGACGACGTATTCATCTTTCAGTACCGATGTCCGTCCCCACCACACGGTGAGTGTGGGGTTGATTTGCTGTACTGTACTGTACAGAGTCCGAGTAAATCATGGTCGCTGAATTGCGATTTCTCCATATCATCACCAGATTAGAGAGAGAGAGAGAGAGAAATAAAGTAGCCCTGTTATTTAGCCACCATTATTTAGCCACCATGATAATAATAATAATAATGATGATTGATTGGGATGCGCTCTGAATATCAATCCACTCTCGTTGGGCCATGAAAATTGAAATCCGGGTGAGGGAAGATACCCACAGCTGCACACGGACGAGGCCGAACCAACAATAATGCTTATGTCCAGATGTCGATCGGTGAAGGGGGAACTGCATGCAGCAAGCTCGGAAAGCAGATCCCAGATCCCAGATCTCACTCACTTGAGAGTCAACCTGGTTTTCTTTTGCTTGCACCTCTGAGATGGATGGACGAGTCTGCAAACCGATAATTTCGTCCCGGGTCCGATCTAGAGACCAGCGGGGACGTGGCGGGCTGCATCCATGCATACAAACTACAGATCTGTATTCTGTACAGATTAGACTTGCCGAGGAATCACTGCCCACCCGTCTGCAACCTCGGCCAGCTTGGGTATCACTCACTGGTCGGGATAACATATAGAGTCGAAGGAGCATTTGACATTGACATTTGATAGTTACAGCTGAAGTCTGAAGAAACGGAGAAGCGAGAAGGGAAGATACAAATGTGTAATAATATACCCTCAAACACAGGGCGTAATATTACATGACATACCGTGACGATAATACCCGTTCTCCGGCGTCCCAGCGAAACGCAACAACCCGCAAAGCAGAAAACCCATGTGAGATGACAACGAAAGAAAAAAAAAAATAAAACAGGAATTCAACGAGCAACGCAGAAAGCAGAGATATAAAATAGAGGGGAAAAAAAAAAAAATTAAAAAAAATAAAATTAAAAAAAAAAGGGCATCATCGAATTAAGTCGCCTTGTCTCTTTTTCCCTCTCATTTATTCCTGTTCTTCTTCCCTCTTCTCCTTTTCTTTTTTTCCCTTCTTCAAATCATTCATTCATCCAATTCATCCAATTCATCCAATTCACCCTCCGGCCTCCTGTGGTTGCACAAGAATTCTCTCGAGAGTCAGCCAACCGAGCCAGCCTCGATTTCAAGTGAGTCCTGGTCATTCATCCAGTCAGTCAGTCCATCTCATTGATCGATTGATTGATTGTCTTGCCCCTACGTCTGTCCAATTGCCTGCCAGAAAACGCTGTCACAATTCCCATCCTGACTAGAGTGGTGCAGGAAGAGTCAGATCACACAGCATCAGGAAGTGTTCTGGTGTTCTGGTTCTGTTGCACGCCGCCCAACAAATAGCTGCCTCATCCTTACCTTTTCTCTTCCCTGAGATAACATAACATAATATATATATATATATTACATCTTATCATTATCTCATATCTCGTTCCTCGCCAAGCCAGCAATATCACGTCGAGGAATTCGGCCACGATGACCTCCACCGCCCTCCCCAAGCGCAGGGCGCTGAACCGGAATTCGCCCACAGACTACTCCACAGAGAGCTCCGCATGTGTCTCCCCAACCGACAGCTTGCGGCCGTCCCCTTCGTCCACGTCCCTGTCGTCAATAGCTTCGGATGTGCAGCAAGAACCCCTGAAATTAGTCGACACTTACGGGACTCCCTTCGAGATCCCAGACTTCACCATCAAGCAGATCAGAGACGCCATCCCGGCCCATTGCTTCGAGAGAAGTGCCCTTCGCAGTCTGTCATACGTCGCTCGAGATATCTCTTGCCTGGCCGGCACCTTCTACCTCTTCCACAACTATGTCACGCCCGAATACATACCGTCCACCCCGGTCCGTGCTGGGCTATGGGGTCTCTATGCCTTCCTCCAGGGGCTCTTTGGGACCGGTCTATGGATCATGGCCCATGAGTGCGGACACCAGGCCTTCTCTCCGTACAGACTGTTGAACGACACGGTGGGCTGGTTCTGCCACTCCGCACTACTGGTGCCGTACTTCTCCTGGAAAATCTCGCACAGCAAGCACCACAAGGCCACCGGCAACCTGGAGCGGGACATGGTTTTCGTCCCCAAGACACGGGAGGTCTTCGCCTCGCGCTTCGGCTATATCGCGCACGAGCTGCACGAGTTGATGGAGGAGACGCCCATCCAGACCGCAGTCCATGTGGTCCTGCAGCAGCTGTTCGGCTGGCCCATGTACCTGATCTCCAACGTCACCGGCCACAACTGCCACCAGCGCCAGCCGGAGGGCCGTGGGAAGGGCAAGGAGAACGGCTTATTCCGCGGTGTCAACCATTTCAACCCGTCCAGCCCGCTGTACGAGGCCAAGCACGCCCCGCTCATCCTCCTCAGCGACCTTGGCTTGATACTCGCCGGCTCCGCCCTGTTCTGGGTAGGCAAGAACTTCGGCTGGGCGAACCTTGCCGTGTGGTATTTCTTGCCATACCTGTGGGTCAACCACTGGTTAGGTACGTCGAACAGTCACCCCGAGCGCCCAGGCCCTCCTCACCATTCCCCTCTTTAATTCTATTTCCTTCTTCCCTCATCAGAAGCCAATGAAACTAACAACAAGCCCATCTAGTCGCCATCACCTACCTCCAACACACCGACCCCACCCTCCCACACTACTCCCCCCAAGCCTGGACTTTCACCCGCGGCGCCGCCGCCACCATCGACCGCGAATTTGGCTTCATCGGCCGCAACATCTTCCATGGCATCATCGAAACCCACGTCCTGCACCACTACGTCAGCACCATCCCCTTCTACCACGCCGATGAGGCCAGCGAGGCCATCAAGCCCATCATGGGCAAACATTACCGCTCAGACACCGAGCTCGGCAGCCTTGGCTTCCTCCGCTCGCTGTGGAGGAGCGCCAGGACCTGCCAGTGGGTGGAGCCATGCGAGGGCGCCAAGGGCGAAGGAGAGCATGTCTATTTCTTCCGGAATCGGAATAACATTGGCGTCAAGCCTGCTGTGATGACCTCGCCGTCGTCCTCGTAGAGCTGGCTCTTGTTTCTTTTTTCTGGTTGGTTTATGGTTTTTTTTTTTTTTTTTTTTTTTTTTTCCTCTTGTGTTTTGTGTTTCTTCACCGTTTCATCACGTTATTTTTGTGGCTTTTTTCTCTCTCCCTTCTTTCTTTTCCTTCCTCGCTTACCCCCCTTTTTTCGGATAATGAAAACATAGTATAGAAAGAGAGAATGAAGAGAACTGAAGATCGAGTGGCAAAATTATATATATATATATATATAAATATATATAGAACGCATACATAAAAAAGAAAACAAGGGTGCCGAGATCATACGTCATAAATGCTTGTCGCTCATCACTTGCTCATATCATATCTTTCTCGTCGCTAATGGAGAACCTTTCATACTATGCTTTCATTCTGTCTTCCGTGCATTGCCCTCCCAGCGTCCCCGCCCCGGATAGCCTCCATCTAACTTCCCGGGGCGACACGACATGAGACGAGACGAGACGAGACGAGACGCGACGAGACCATGAAATGCAGAGAAGGCATGTGGGTCTCTCTTGCACAAACTTGCCCTGTCGCTGATGGGTATATAGTTTTTCATATAGATTGATGTATTGTGTTTTTTTCATTTGATTCATCAAAGCAGGCAGTGGCAATAAGATCTTTTCGTTTTTCGTTTTTCTTTTTCTTTTTTTTTTTTTTTTTTTTTTCTCAGTTTTCTTTTCTGGGCTGTTTCTTGTCATTTCATAGAATTTCTGACAAAGAGAGCGGGAGAGAGAGAGAGAGAAATAAAGAAATAGAAATATACAACTCGAGTATAATAAATACATACCGATAGACATCCATACATACCTACAACCCATAACTTTCATCCTCGTCGGGCAAGAGTCACGGCAATAATGATAAATCAACAATCCAGCATGGTTCCTCATCCCTCATCCCTCATCTCTCATCCTCATCCTCATGCGACCGCCCGCAGCGCTGAGCCGGCGCGCATCTGCCCTCCATCCACCCCAGCCTCAGACAGTCAGGGCTTGTCGCCAGTTCAATAGCATAGCTCGCTAACCCTCTCTCAAGAGAAGGGAGGTGGGAATGATAAGCAACACAGAAGAGGAAAAAAGGATGAATGGAAAGAGGGTGGCCGAAGGGAGGCAGGACTGAGGAGTATAATAAATAGGAAGTCAGTCCCTGGCAGCCCACACGCCAGCTCCGACAACGTCGTAACTCTTGGGGGCTTGGGGGCTTGGGAGCTTCGATTCGGGCTTTTCCTGCGGGGTTGGAACGAACTTGTCGTCCCAGCCTCTTCCTCCTCCTCCTCCATGGATAGAATGGCTAGATATCCAGTGGATATTATAGATAGCAACAGCAGAAAGGAAGCCGAAAAATAAAGAGCGCCGTTTCGTGACCCCTCTCTTTTCTTTTCTTTTCTGTCCTGTCACCAGCGCGTGCTTCTACCGGCTGTTTTCCCTTTCCCCCTTCGCACTTCTCAAATCTGCCGTCGCGCTTCCGTATCCTCGCCTCTTTGGTGCGGCGAGTTGGGTTGCATCCCACAGCCCGCATCCGGTTGCATCCGCGGGTTATTTATAATAGGCTCCCAAGCCCCAAACAACGCACCAAGCAAGCTTTGAACCCGGCCTCAATTCTCATGCCAGTGTCATTTCTTTCTTTTTCTCTACGGTTTATTTTTTTTTTTTTTTGGTTTATTTGGACGATTATATGGAATTATTTGACGATCCTCTACTAGAAGAAAGCGCTATATTTCTCTTTTTACATGGGTGGTGCTGTTTTTTTTTTCGAATTGCACTGCTGGCTCTCGAGGCTCATGCCAGCATCCAAAAGGCAAGTATTGTCCATTTCTCCCCAGAACCTTTCGCATATGACGGCATATTTAGTGTACCGATGCCATACCACAATTATTGCACAATGCCGAAGAGTCGACGTCAGACTCGATCAGATGTTTTAGCCATTTCATGCAAGCCCTGAGAGGCAGTTTTGGGCAAAGGCAGTCTGCCCTCCTTTGTAGATAAACCGATTCCCGAAGCTGGTCAGCAGCTTGATTAATTAGTGACATCATAGCTAGCGTATTGGCAAGTCTCTCAAATGCCGATATGAAGCCCGCTCGACTTTTTTTTTTTTTTTTTTTTTTTTTTTTTGGCATTGAATTCACATCTGCTCCGGCATCGAGCGGGGCGAGCTGCCGTCAGGTGGCCTTTGTTGAGCTACGGCATATAGTGCGCTGGTTCCATCATCGGGAGGATGAGGCCGGCTCTATGTGGTCGCATTCCCGTGCAAGGCGCAGTCTTGAAAACCGATCTTGTTGATGTTTTGCAATTCTTGGCCTGCAAAAGGGCTCCATCCAAACAAACATCTGATTCCAGAAGAGTAGCTGGTGCTGCATTTAGTCCTAAAACCCCTTATATACACACTTTGTCTGTTCCTCGAAGAAAACGGTGTGCGAGACATGTAATCCGATGAGGACTGTAAGTCAAACTCCCCATAAGCATCTGTAAGGGCTTTTACCCTTGCCTGTCCTTAGCGACCGTTTATATACTGTCAAGTTTGAATATGTAGGGCGTATTTCTTCCACGCTTCGAGTTGTTTCATCGAGAAATAATTCCTGAGTGTTTAAATAGGTTTCCATTGGTTTTCCTGACGTTGCAACATTAATTTTCCAATGGTGATAGCTATCTGCCTCATTTCCTGTCCCGGGATCACAAATATTGAACAGCTAGTCGCTGGCAAGTGCTTGGCGCTTTCTAGGAAGCATTTTCCTGAGTATGTCCCTCCCACTCTTAAGGTTTCTCTAAGAACGCTTCGTCGCCTAGCATTTTGTAAGTTTGAGCCATCATTTCTGCCCGAGTGCCGCCTCTGATCTCACGAAATAAAAGCAGGAGGTTCGCAAACCCATATTCCTTCTAGCCGTATAAACTAGTGGCGATCTCCACGGAGGCATTAGTAAGCACAGTCGCCTACAGGTTTGGCCAGCAGACGTCCCGACATTTGTTCGCTGATAGTCATAAGTGTGACCATCATACCGATCTGTAGTTAAATAAGTTGAAAAATGATAACGTTCAGTCATCGTTAATCGGACTGATACCCCGTATCCCTCCAGGGTGTATTTCGAACCCAACTTTGTTAAAGGTGGGATCATATTCAACCATCTCTCTACCTTCGGTTGGTCCACTTTCATAACAACCCAGAGTATGATTCGGATCACCAGAAGTCCATGGCGAGAACACCACTTGAATTGTCCGGTGTTTCCGATATGATGAAATGGTAGTAGACAGAGGGTCATCAATCATCCCAGTCGTAGAGTTTGCAGGGTTGGCCTTTTGTTTATTGGGGGTCTCCTCTTTCCGGGGTCTTCTATTTTCGGATTCCATATGCGCCGAAGTTGGATTTTTTTGATTCTGTTCTTGAGTTAAGGGTGTGCACGATTGAGCCTCAGTAGGGCTTCGAGAACCAGGTCCATCAAAAACGGCAGGAGGTAAGGTGTTCGAATTCGACTCCGGATGGATATCTTTTGTACGTTGGTTGGCAATTCGAACGTTCTCCATTTTGAGGACAATACGACAAGCAATTTGGTTTGTCCAAACAATGCCAAGGGCGGGCGTTTTCCACTCCGACTGGGAATCTGTATACATAGCCTCTAGCGTAGATGCATGCGAATCACCCCAGCCAGTGAAAAAGGGTCGTTGGTAGTCAACTTTCAGCAGTGTACCGAGATCAAGAACACTTAAAGAAAATTCATATTCTTCCGCCTCGGTCATAGACGATGGCATAGGAGAAGAGGCTAATCCTAGTTGATGAGAAGGCGATGACTTAAAATCTTCAGAATCATCTGCCAACTGCTCGTCAGGATGAGAAGATGGTGGCTGGGATTGATGCTGAAAAGGGGATTCATCCAAGGAACTGCTTGTGGGAGGGTCAGGTTCGTCTACCCATAGAACATCATCCATCTGGATCCTATCTGATACTTGGTTTGCGACGACAATTGCGATATTCTGTTTGGCGGCTAGGTTCCTAAGGAATTGGCCAAGCTTTTTAAGTTGCCATGCCCGAGCCAGTAAACCAGCAACATTATCCAAATCACTCTCAGCACGGTAGTTAGCCGTTATGGAATCGATAACGACAAGGCCAATATTGTAACGAGAAACTGCCACTGGAATTTGATAGTTCAGTATGTGATCCTGGGACTCGAGATCGATGGTAGTTATGGACAATATATTTTCCAAGGACGGGCGAGGAGATCCCTCGGGTAGTGTAGAAATTACAGGATGTTCCTCGAGAAGCTGGGACAGCCTGTTTGTAGGTAGATTTGACTCCGTAGACAAGTAGAGAGCCTTTTGGGATGTGCCATAAGGGGGAGGTAGCTGAACGGAAAGCAATAGATGCAGAAGGAATTGGGTTTTACCGCATCCGCTGCAAGATTTACGGAATGTAAGTAAGTATCCGTTAAGCAATGTGATGGTGAATGTGACTGTCTTACCTCTCTCCTGCCAGCTCCGTTACATATCCCGTGGATATGCCACCTGCCAGGACCCGATCTAAAACAGGATCCAATGTGCTTACAAATGAAAGCTCAGGAACTCTATGGCCTAGTTTCACAATTGGATCCCCATGGTCCTGGACTGTATACCGCTCATTGTCGTCGCGGCTTGCTGGCGCCACGTCTATGGACTCCCCCTGATATCTACCCAGACCCAGATCTCGATGCAAAGCGTTGATCACATTCTCGGCCAGGGCACGCACATCTGTCACGGCGACCTTGGCCTGCTTGGCAATTTCCAGAGGGTCAAACAACACCAGGTCCTTCACCGCAATGTTTGCCCTTTCTAAGGATGGTAATATATGAGCATAGGACTTTGTCGGGAAGTCGGGGATTGTGGAGAGTATATCCATCAGTTGATCGCGCGGTGGGCAGCTGAGGTGAGGATCGCACCGGCGCAAGTCGGGCCACTCATCACCCAAGATATGGCGTAAGATTGCCGGCCCTTGAATCCTGGTAGACGGTAGATCGTCGGGAAAGTAATTGCAAGATCATATCGGCGCCATAACTACCTCGGGACGCTGGGATTAGTGGCTTCTGGAGCTGAGGTCGCGTGGAAGGAGGATTATTTGACTGCAAACAAGCTTTTTTAGTTGACTAGTGCTGAGGCAGGCAGGGATACTCGCATCGAGGGCTAAATATCCAGAAAGGTCAAACCGCGCCATTCCAATCCACATTGCTCGAGATCTCAAGTAACTAATTAACTTAGTCAGCAGCCACCTTCCGCATTTTATATTGCTGAGCTGATGCGATGTACAGTACAAGGAGGAGAACCTCGGGCATTCGCCTTTGAAGGTTCAAGCATCCAAGACAGCAAGTCAGCCTGCTTCTCTCCAGAACGAAATGGACATTCCAGGTGACATCCAAGCGAAACCCTCTTGCCGATCGTTGGCAACTTTATCAGATGATCAAGATAAAGACAACTTCTCGGACGGTAGTTGGAGGATTTGCCTGAAATTTGTTTAGACTCGTTGATCTGCCGAATTGCAAGCCGATAGCTGTACCGGTTTCGCGCTTTGTGGCTGGCGGCCAAACCTGCATTGCGGGGTTGTTCCTTTGTCTTCGGCGAAGGAAGCCGTCGTTGGTGCTATTATTTGTATGTCCCAAATCCCTTTTTCTCTGTCCGCAAAGCACTCCAAGTAGGGAAAGTTAGTCTCTTCAATTATTTTCCTTGTCAAGGATCATTCCCAGTCAATACCTATATTAACCTTCTACTCTTCATTATCAAGATGTCTTTTCCCCACCCACTTGAGCAGCTGGGGGCGACTGAGATCCGCTCTGCTCGAGATGTCATTTCCCAGGCTCATCCAGGTGTTCTGCTCCGGTTTCGTTCGATATTCCTGGAAGAGCCGGCCAAAGCTACTTTGACAAGCTTCCTGGCAGCAGAACATGGAGGGGTTCTTTCGGCTTCCACGACTCGGCCACCACGATTGGCCAGTGTGCATTACGATACCATCCAGGCGGACAAGACGCATGACTATTTTGAATCGGTTGTGGACTTGGGTCTAAGGAAAGAAATCTCTCGTCGGACCTTTGATTGTTCGAAGCAGCCTTCAATTACATTGTAACGTTCATCCTTAATTTAAACGAATAGCAATGATCAGGGTTAACGTGATTTAGGGATGAATTCGGCTCGTTTAATGAGGCATGCATGGAATCTCCATTGTTCCAGAAAGCGATATCTAAGTTTACCTTGCCAGAGGGATTCGTCCTTGAAATTGACCCGTGGCCATATGGCGGGCTCGACGATGGCGAGCCTAACATTCGTTACATGCAAGGGCTTTGTTTCGCCAAGGACACGCGAAACGGAAATCCAAACTCCAATCACTACAGTTACCCAATCCCCCTTATTCCAGTAATGGATTTCCGCAAGCGAGAAATCATTAGAGTTGACAAGCTCGCGACTGGAGGAACGGATGATGGCCTTGCCTATGATATTGCCTCCCAAAACATATTGGACCATACGTGTCCCTCAGAATATGTTCCTGAACTTTTGGATATAAAACTGCGAACGGATGTTAGACCACTTAATGTGCTCCAGCCCGAAGGCCCGTCCTTCCAAGTGACCAACGAAAGTCTGGTCGAATGGCAGAAATGGAGATTCCGTGTTGGGTTCAACCCCCGGGAAGGTGCAACCATTCACGATATCCATTATGATGGGCGTAGTATTATATACCGCCTAAGCATGTCTGAAATGACGGTTCCATATGCGGATCCTCGACCTCCCTTTCATCGAAAGCAAGCTTTTGATTTTGGTGATGGTGGCGCTGGCCGATCCGCCAACAATCTGGCTTTGGGCTGCGACTGTCTAGGCGTTATTAAGTACCTAGACAGTTTTAACATCGACGCGTCAGGCCAGCCGTCCGTGGCTAAGAATGTGGTCTGTGTCCATGAGCAAGACAACGGCATCGGATGGAAGCACACAAATTTCCACACAGGTCGAGCTATTGTTACTCGATATCGTGAACTTGTGGTGCAGTTCGTCATCACACTCGCCAACTACGAATACGTTTTTGCGTACAAATTTGACCAGGCCGGAGGAATTACTTTCGAAACCCGGGCGACTGGCATTGTCTCAGTGGTTAACATCGATCCAGGCAAGGAGTCTCCATGGGGTAACGTAGTATCTCCCGGCGTCCTCGCTCAGAACCATCAACATATATTCTGTCTTCGCATTGACCCTGCCATTAATGGGTATCGAAATACTGTTTTCCGTGAGGAAACACTACGAATGCCTATGGATATCAAAACCAATCCTTTCGGAAATGGGTACCGGGTAATTACCCAGCCGGTGGCGACTTCCGGTGGATTCAACGCCTGTCCGAACACCAATTTAGTAGTCAAAATGTCTAATACCAATGTCCTGAACCCCATTTCTGGACACCCGGTCTCCTATAAATTTACTCCCCCGGCTACGCAGCTTATCCTCGCAGACCCGCGATCCACCGTCGCACAACGTGCCCAATTTGCGAAACACCATGTCTGGGTGACGGCACACCGGGATGGTGAATTCTTCGCTGGAGGCAAATTCACCAACCAGTCCCGGAGCGAGCAGGACGGTGTTTCGGACGCTGCTGCTCGGAATGACAACATCCTTGACTCCGATGTGGTGGTCTGGTCGGTGTTCACGCTGACTCATAATCCTCGTGTTGAGGACTGGCCAGTGATGCCAATCGAGAAAATGGAAGTCCACATGCGGCCGTCAGATTTCTTCGATCGCAATCCCGCTTTGGATGTTCCTGGGACTAAAAACCCAACGAGTGTGCTCGTTGATGAGAAGGATGATTGCTATTGTGCGGGCGGGAAGGTTCAGCGGGCGCCCGAATCACATCGTCAAAGCTCGCAAGATATTCCTGTGAAAACCAGTAGTAAGCTGTAAGGTAAAACCTGGGAATCTATTATTTTATTTTATTTTATTTATTGATTGATTTATCCACTTTTTAAAAAATTTCATTACGATTTGATGGATGGCTATTTGAGGAATCCTCTATTAGTGTCACAGCCATGAACACTGACACTTTGCACACACTGGTATTGGAAATTGTATACATGTGTAAAACCATAACTACTAGTACCCCACCGTAGTATTAAAAGTTTATACAATCGCCTAGTCAGTTTGTTGTAAGGCTCCATCCTAGCGAATATTTCCGGCAAACAAAAACGCACGCACCTTTCAAAAATGGCGGTATTCCACATTGGTAGGTCTCTTCTTGCCTAGATCCTTCAGATTGACGACTGCCCTCAAACCCCCCTCTCCCCACGCGAATACTTGTACTGCTCCCCAGTGCAACAAATACAGCGCCTCAAAAACATAAACCATTACCAAGAAAACCCAATTACCGCGTACTAACCACTCTCTGATCCTACGCCAGTCCTCCTCAAACTGAAACCGGGTGTTGTGCCAGCTCAGGTAGCCGCATTCAAGACCGCATGCAAGGCCATGGTTGGGCAGGTCCCAGGTACGTACAATTTTGCGATTTTGCAATTTTGTTCGTTGTACTCATTGAAATGGGATTTTTTTTTTAAAAAAAAAAAAAAAAAAAAAAAAAAAAAAAAAAAAAGCCACCCCAAACATAAGAGAGATAGGAAAGAAGGAAAGAAGTAAGGGTATACAAATGTATATTCTAAATTCTAAATTTCTAATAACGTTTCAACAGGACTCCGTGAAATGCACTGCAATCCGCCATTGGCCATGACAGCATCTCGGGCCAAGGGATATGGGCTAAGCCGGATGATGTCTCGGTTTATGCGGGGCATCCTTCGCATCTTGTTTAGGTGAACGGTTTCGTTCGTTCTCTTCTTTTTGTTACCGCTACATGAATTTATTTTTTTTGTTGTTTTTTTTTTTTTTTTTGTACGTCTCATTTTTACTTTTAAGAAGTGCTTTCCTGTAAGTATGATGCTAATTTTGGCAGGGTGCAAAAATTGCGTGATGAGCTGTGTGAGGATGCGTTGGCGTACGATATGGAGTTTTAAGTTCATGGAAGCCTTCCAGGGAATGGTGGTTGTACATACATACATGTACAGTTCAGTATGTGGTGCGGGTTGACATGAATGTCGCTGTAGCAAAGCCACTTTTTGTATGTGCAGTACGTATGAACAAGCCGATTCTTAAATTTACAAAATTAATACGGAATACACATACAGATTTTGACATATTGGAAGCCACAAGCTCGAGTGAGTAGACCAAAGCACATGAACAGCTTGTTGCTCCATGATTTCTAGATGTCACCTAGATAATCAAATCCTCCTTGTCCTTCTGTTGCATCAGTATGATATAGCGCTTCGCAGTCCACTCGCGCAAACGCTTTCCCTTCCAAATCAGTAGAAGAAAAGACATATTAGCAACAAGGCATATCATCGCCATGATAATAGTGGTGGTTTGCAAACCGTTATGGTCCAGCCATGGCCTTGAAAGAAGAGTTGAGTTCTAAAGTTAGTTACCGCAACCATCCAATAATAACTACAAAATTAGAAGAGAGAAATAGAAACGAGCGACCTACTGGCCGGCAAAAGTGAACCCGCAACCGATCATATTCCGAACAAAGAGCATAAGCACCAGGCCTTCAGAGGCAGTGCGCGGGTAGCAGTCTACCGCGTACGTAATTGCAATGGCGCCGCCACTTCCGATCCCGAAGGCAATAAATACCATGCCGAATCCGGCTGGCAGAAGCCACATTGTACCCTTTAATACACCCAGACCATACATAAGTATCCCCGCGGTGTTGATGATTGCAGGGACAAGCATAGTCCAGAGCCTAAACTCAGGTTCTAGAATACCCTGGTTGCGTCTGGAGAGAAAAATGATGCACCAATCAGACACATAGCCGCCCCAGAACATGCCTAGGATGCCGCCGATGAAGGAGGAAAAGTTGATATTGCCAACGTTCGTTACACTCAAGTTGTACGGCGGCCCACTGAAAAGTTCAGACTGCGTCACGTTGAGTAGCGATAGCCACATAATCTGTACGCCGTAGATGAAACCTGCCCACATGACTGCCGGATATGTTACCAACATAAACGGGCTAATGGCAACGAGCCACAATGGCCGTGGGTCACTATAGGCAGTGTTATATAGTCCCATCCGTTGCCAGTATGTCTTCGGAGCAGGTGGCGCTGATTCCTCGGAGGTGTCACCGTCTTCTCCATGTGACGCTTCAGACTTAATTTTCACATCTTGTAGCTTTTGTCTTGCATGATGAGATATCGTGGCTATGTCTCCGGATATCTCTGAGGACGTAGGTGGTCTGCAGAAGGTAGATTCTTCCATCGTGAATATTTGGATGACCAGAAGGACAGCGAAGAAAATGATCAAGTACTGGTAATGCCAACGCCAGTTCTGGGAGTCGGCGATGTGCCCCGCCGCAACAGGGCCAAGGTATGACCCTGCATATATCGTGAAGACGCACAAACTCAGTCTGGTGCCTTTCTCATGTGCAAAGAAGATATCGGTCGTCGTAATTTGTACCAGAGAGTCCACTGGCGTCGCACCGAACCCGGTGAGGATGTTTGTCGCCCATTGCATCTCAATGGTTGTCTGGAATCTGCCTACAATGCAGCCTACAAAGTTGAGAAGCGATCCCACAAGGTATATAGGTCTTCTACCGATCTTCATGGCTATGGGCTGCAAAATGACGCAACCTAGCCCAAGGAACAGGAAGCAAAACGCTGACGCAATACTCAGCTCGAAGTAGGTTGTTTTCAGATCGATGGTAAATTGTGTCTTGAAAGCGTATCAGTCGAATTCGAGTTGGAGTTGAAGCTGCAGCCGCAGCTGCAACTGTGTTGTGCAAAACTTTGCATGAGCTGAACATACCCAGACTGGCCCAACCCAACCAAATTGACGCAGACCGCAGCTAGAAACCCCCAGATCCACAGGAGCCAGAAATGATACTCCTTGCGGAATTTACTCCAGTTGAGGGGGTCGTTGGGGTCATTCGAAGGCTGGGGTACAAGGACAATATCGCTTTTTCCACCTTTTTGATGCTTTACATTCATTGTCCCTTCCACTAAAGAGATTTCGTCCCATGTCAGATTCCATATTAATTGTTAATTAGATCAACGGTAAAACAAGCCACCTACAGTCGACAATGAGCAAAGTTCCGGGAACCATTTTCACCCCTTCAACCGTAACGAACTCTATCTTGGTTCGATATTGTTGTTTCACGCGTCAAAGCAAGGTCTATGGCCGTTCAACGCAGTTCAATTGTAGTTTTATTCAGAAAAAAGCCAAAAATGTCTCAAGAATGACTTCTCAGATCGCGCATCACCCCCTCGTAATATGCAATATGTGCGATTCTCAATCATAACTGAGCTAGAAGCGCAGATCAACAAAACCAAATCCAAGAAGGCGAAGGATCCAGCTGCTCCGGGCATTGGCTTGGGAGAACCAAAAGGAAGCCGTAAACCCGTATAACGATTGCAAGGGACAAGCTCACAAAAGCCGGGAAAGTGGTGGTGCGACCCATTTCTTCAGCTACCAGTGATACGGAGAAGTTATACCTATCGGATTTATTCCTCTGTAGTTGGGCACATACACTGCTCGACAAGCTGAGTCGGGATCGGCTTTGGGGACCATGTTTCCCCTCTCGCTCAACACCAAGCATCCAACACGGCAAAGAGGTGGATGTGCGTAGCCGAATGAAATAGGCATAGTTGGACCGAGCCCAGGGCCATACCCATATAGGAATACGAGAAGGCACCAAAAAGGCCTTTTCGTTCAGACTTTTAATTAAAACCGCGGTGATTTTAGGTGGCAATCAAGGTTTGAAAAATCAACGCCGGCAGTACGCTAGTATCCACTTTTTGCGTGCAGGATATAGGGCTTTGTACGTGCAACCGAACACGCCTAATAAGTACCGAGAGTGGGTGGTTAAGGGTAGTTAACTTACGCTATGTTCCTAGGCACTTCGCATTCTGGCTTCATATGAGCTTTTCCTCTCGCCAGGCCATGTCAGAGATGCGCAGAGTATGGGCCGTTGTGGACGCACGATCAGTTGGAAAATGTCAAAATTGAAAACAATATGAAAAATATAGTAAAAGCTGATACGGCTCTGAGTCTCCAAAACCAGCTCTTGCCATGGACATTGTAAGCCCTTGTGCCACCAAGGTTATAACTATGCGCTTAGTCAACGGCCCCAAAATCAACCTCCCCAGCACAGTTGGCTTGGTGTTCCAAACCCAACAACCACGACTTCGGCACGCAGGGAACGAGAGAACAATTCCCAAAAGCTTTCGGCCGTTGTCGGGAGACGCAATCGGAGAATGCACCCAGATATTACTTTGCGCGTTAGCCTGGCTGGCTTGGCTCTATTCCAATCCTCTCCATGCGAAATTCCGCTCATGAGTTTGCTGGAAGTGATAGCCCTCACTTCCTTCGGGGAATTGCCATCCTTCGAGAGCGTGAAAAACCAAGAACTAGGCGCGCCACTAGTATAGTTCGGGCTAAGACTTCATCATCCCGCCGTGGAGTTGACCAGCGTCGCAGTACCAAGGGCACTGCGACATTCGATCCTTTCCCCAGCTTGAACTTAAATGCAATCAAGGAAACCCCACGGTTTGACGGCTCACAAACGGAAGACTGACGGATAGAGACATTAGCGCTTTGTTTTCAATAAAGGAAAAACGCGGCGCTGCTGTTCGCATATTTCAATACCACCACCACCTTACCCCTCGCCACAGCGTTATCAACCTTTCGAAGCTATTGAAGCGCGGATTTTGCCGTTAAGGCTGAACGCATTTCAGCTGCCTGAAACGCTCCCTCAAGCGCAATACCCAAGATAGTTACGTCAAGTCTGTGTCTGGTCATTGGTGGATACCAATTGAGCACTGAAGACCACGATTTAGGCGGTTCTCTTACGTTCCTAGGTTGATTGATTAGGGATAATAATGATTCAGGTCTGTCTCCCCAGTGGATTCGTGCTTGCCCTCCGAGCCAGCCCCACAGTTTGGCAAGCAAGCTTCGTTAAGCATAAACGTAGCTCCAAAATTTGCCTAGCTCCCTTTTTATTTTATTTTGTTTTGTTTTCTTCGTCAGATATACAGATCCTACCACATCTCTCTGCTGTATCTTTTCCCTTTTTGGTTAAGCAGCTCTCTATCTGATTACCACCACCATTCTTGAAGTTGCAACAACTATTTTTTATCTCTCTCTCTCTCTCTCTTTTTTTTTTTTTTTATCTCCAATTCTTTTATGGTATTATTCTAGCTGCCGAAAGTTAGCTGACAATGCCGTAGTCCACATGAAACTCTTGTGATGGCCACCTTTCCCGCTGGTCTGGAGACCCCGCTTCTCAAGGTCAGCCGCCCTGTCGCAGCATGCTCGAGGTGCCGCGCCGCTAAAGTAAAATGCGATGGCAAACTCCCTGCCTGCTCTGCTTGCGAACGGGCGGGGAAAGCGTCTAGCTGCCCGGGCGCTACAGATGAGTTCGCTAAGGGAAAAGAGCGGAGCTATGTGGCCTCGCTTGAACGGCCAATGTGAACGGCTTGAGAAAGAATTGCCGAAGCGAAGCGTCGGAGGCAGAATTCTATAATGGAAAGAGCTGCGATGGGGCAGAACTATAACTCTCCCCCGATATACTCTCAAGGTGGGAAGAAATCTTATCGCAAAGAGACATCTGATATCAATGACTTGGTGGGAGATTTTGGATTCCTGTAGGTTTATGAAATTGCCACCCACTCATTCCTTGACTTGAAACACTTACACTTACTCCAGCTCAGTTAACGCGACATCGAGAGATTTCTATGGCATCACATCCTCAACATCCTTTGCTAGGCTACTGGTAGCAGTGGCTGTATCGAAGCCATTACAGAATGCAGGGGTAAACAGAGGCCTTCCAGCCCGCCCCGTATCTTCTACGCTTATTCAGCATTACTTCGACAATATCTATGTCCTGGCCCCCTTTTTTATACAGACCAACTTTTGGGCATCGTTCGATGCCATCTATCAAGAAGGAGGACGTTTCGCCAAGAGTTTTGATTATTGGATTGTACACATGGTTTTAGCAATCTCTCAGGCTCTAACCTCTCATTCTCAAATTGCTAGGCATCATGTTTCGATGGCGCTCGAATACGCCGATGATGTTCTTCATCCCGGGTCGATTGCTGGCATCCAGGCCATTTTATTATTGGCGCAGTATTCAATGCTTGACCCTGAACACTTCAGAACTTGGCACTTAATTGGCAGTGCTGCTAGAGTCGTCTCTGATCTGGGTATTCACCAGGAGCAACTGTCTGAGCCGTACCTCAATAAAACAAACCTAGATCTTCGAAGGAAGGTTTTCCATTGCGTCTATTCCTTTGACCGGTAAGCAAATCAGCGGACAGACACATTTTCTTCAAATATTAATATAACTCTAGATATGTAAGCATTGCATTTGGGCGAGCATTCTCATTCTCCGATGATTCTGTGAACGTCCCTCTTCCAGGCGTGCCGCTGCAGCCCATTGGGGAAGCATTAAACTGGACGACCCCCCTATTCGCCAAGGGCATTGAACCGGCCATCTATTTGTTCAAAATACGCGGAATACAGTCAAAGGCATATCAAATTATGTTTTTCAGTGGGCGGAACCCAGCCCCAGAGCCCTCGCTGTACACATGGGAAGTCTGTGCGGAGGCTCAAAACTGGTTCAATGCAATACCAAGAACTTTGCCAGGTCATCTCATTATCTTCTACAACGCAGAGCTTTTCTTCACGTTTGTGATTCTTCTCTCCCCGTCAAATTATAATCCGAGCGTAAGTACACTACACCGAGTTCTATTATTTGAATACGCCATCAAGTTCATCTCCCAAATACACCAAATAATCAGCGCCGCTAGCTGGCCGCTGTTTTTCTCATACATCGACATCCAACGAGTATACACAGTAGCTAGCAAGCTCATAGACGCTCTCGACCAATCATACAACGAAATACTTCTGGACACCCTTCCTGAGCTAGCTACCCCCTTACCGCCAGGAACGCACCAACCTCCATACGTATCCCCAACAGAACGGATTGATTCCAACGGCCGGGCACTGAAATGCCTACAAAGCATTGGCTCAATTTTGAAATATGCTCACACCAGTGAATATGAGAGATCTGCTGGATGAATTCCAGCGAA